AAAACGAGAGGAGGCCATTCGGCCCATCAAGCTGGTTTGGGGAGAACTCAACTAATAGCTCAGAGTTGATAAATCTTATCTAGCTCTGATTTAAAGGAACCCAGGGTTTTAGTTTCCGCTACACTAACAGGAAGACTATTCCATACTCTAACTACACGCTGTGTAAAGAAGTGCTTTCTCAAATCCAGTGTAAAATGTTCTTCAGATAATTTCCACCTATGGCCACGAGTTCTTGTTTTTGAACTAATATTGAAGTAACTATTTGGTTGAACAGCATCCAGACCTGTTAGAATCTGATATACCTGGATCATATCCCCCCCCTCCTTAGTCTCCTTTGCTCATGGCTGAACAGATTCAGCTCAGCTAACCTCCCCTCATAAGACATTCCTCTAAGACCAGGAATCATTCTTGTAGCCCTACGTTGCACTCTTTCCAAGGCAGCAATGTCCTTTTTAAGGTATGGTGACCAAACCTGCACACAATATTCTAGGTGGGGTCTTACTAATGTATAATCGTAGCATCACCTCCCGTCTCCACACACCTAGAGATGTAACCCAACATCCTACTGGACTTTTTCTTTACTTCCCCACACTGGCGAGAGTGGGACATGGAAGCATCAACATACACGCCAAGGTGTTTCTCATAATCAGCAACCGTTATTTCAGTGGAACCTATAACATATCCATACTATATATTTCTGCTCCCTGGATGAATTACCTTACATTTGTCTACATTAAATTTCATCTGCCAGGTATCGGCCCAGTCACTAATTAAATCAAGATCCCGTTGTAGCCTCTGTGCCGCTAGTATTTGCTACATCACCCACCTTGGTGTCGTCTGTACATTTAACCAGTTTGCTGGATATATTGGTGTCAATATCGTTAATGTAAATTAGGAATTACGGTAAACTGAAGTCAAAAAGAGACACGGTGTGAACTGCATGACATGCTAAAGTGCATGAATAACAAACTATTTGAAAGACACTGACCTGGTCTCCTTCATTAATGACTGTTAATGATGCGTAACATAACGATATTTCCTGGTACGACCTTGACCTAAAGCGCAATGGCCAGCTTACGCAGTCAGTGCCCCACCTACACAGCTGCAGTCAGTGCCCCACCTACACAGCTGCAGTCAGTGCCCCACCTACACAGCTGCAGTCAGTGCCCCACCTACACAGCTGCAGATTATTTTCTCACAGTAAAACACAGTCAAAGCCCAGGGTCACCAGGGCCAATAGAAATCAAGGCGCAGAAGCATCCGGAGAAAGACGGCAGCTTGATAGGCGGAGCAGAAGCGGGCGGAGCAGAAGCGGGCGGAGCAGCAGCTGCGACTGCGGGCATGTTAGATTGGCATGGTAGGAAGTCAGTAAGGCTTCTCTCTGTTATGCGCGTAACCATGGGAGACGGGCACTACTGTGTGTGCATGTGTGTCTGTGAGGGACCAAAAGCATGGGAGGTGTGGGACGCTGGAGCGGACCTGTGGTGCCAAGCGCCAGGTAGGAACTTGCAGGGCTGGGGGGAGGGGGGTCAGGGGCCAGGGACAGAATGCTAATGAGAGCACCCCCTCTTCTCCCCCCCATGGGCGTTTGCCACGCTGTGCTGCCAGGTCCATTTAGGGCACCCCATAAAATGCCACTAAGTACACTATCACCAGGCTCTGGGCGGGACGGGCACAGCTTCAGACAAAACGGGTGGCGGATCATAAAACGGGTGGTGGGTGATGCCCATACCAGGCCTTGGATCTGGGAGGCTTTCTGTGCTTACTGTTACCCATAGAGGCACCCTGCAGGCCTCTGTGCCCATGTTAACGAGGTGCCCTCCTCTCTGTTATATTTACACACACACACACACACACACACACACACACACACACACACGACCGCTGACACTCTTAAAAACATCCTTTCTCCAGCAGCTTCATCATTAGGGGCAATTCTAAGATTTTTTAAGGTGGGGGGCATAAGAAGAGCCATATTTATACAAAGGGGCCAACCTTATCATTAGCCAATGATATGTTTTGAATCGGTGACTGACAGGGGTTGGGGGCACTCCAGAGGGCAATCAGCATTCAACTCAGGCCAGTGACACCATGACTTGCTGGTGAGGACGTCCAAGTAGATAGAGACGGAATAAAAACAGATCTATTTCCTGAGCATATAAAACAAGATGGTACAGAAAACAGGCAACCAATCAATGCCCACAAAAGTCACAGCAGTGTCTGAAACCAGTCACATGATCGCCATGCTACTCTCCAAGAACGTATGACTACACCATAAGACATTGTCTCACTTTTCTGTGCCACAGGGCTAAGGAATTGGACGATGCTGATGCTCCAGGCTGCCATAGAGGATTTATATAAGTTTTAATATATTTCTTCCACTACAGAAGTACAGACACCATGACACCACTCACACTTCCCATAACATGCCGAGTGCCAGGAAACAAGAAACAAAACTCGACATCAAAAAGCAATGAACATCAGAGGGAACAAAAAATCCCGGGACAATGGGGTTACATCCAAACGGCTGCTTTTACTGCAGCCGGAGTCTACATCCAGTACGGGTTTTATGATTTTCATAACTAATAAAATTACCACATCCATATTTTCTTTCCTGGCATGGGGATGACTGCTGGTAGCTGTATATGATTCCAAAGTACCAATTTCATCTTAATTGACATGTCAAGACATAATACAAACAGTGGATAGGGTTTGTACGGAAATCATGGGAAAACTGCCCAATATCCATCTCGGATTCCTTTGGATAAGTAGGATGTGGTGACGAAGACAAGTTATTTAGTAGCGGTTAATATTTGTTGTTATTATGTGGAATTTGGCTGATGATGATAGAGTCTAATGCATCAGTGACGGGGGGGAGGGCTATACTGCAGCCAAAGGGCCCCAAAACACACAGCTACCAGCTCTACAGTTTCCATCAACAGGTGAGGGTCCAACAACCTGACACTGGCCAAGACCACATCACTGCACAGACACTGCTTTTTGCGACTGTCACCAAGCAGCCCGACAGCTTATCGGATCTGCCAAGCTGCCACAGAGACAGGCCCGATTGCTGCGGAACACGCGGGCATGCGTGGGCACCGGCCGCACTTCCACGCCTCGCTCACACTCTCCTCAGCAGACGTGGCACCTCTAAACGCGGGAATTACGCGCGAGTGAACTTCCCGGCGATTTATGTCTGCGGTTTTATGGGAGGCCAAGGTGGATGTGAGGCTGGGAGTGATGGACCGCTGCGGGGGGATTCGTACACGGACGGGGCTGAAGCTCGGGCATCTGTGCACGGGTAATTTATGGCAGCTGCAAAGGGGTACGAAGAGGGAGGCAGACGAGACGAGAGAACGGCCCAGTGATCCTAGATGATTCATACTCTCAGGTTTAACAGTGACTTCTGCCAGGTTCTGCTCCTGCTATTTTTACCCTGCTCGGTGCTCTTTCTTCTCAGTTGATCTTCATTTACCCGCCCCTTCCTCCTTCATACTCCTCCCATCCCGCCCCATCGCCAATCATCTCACCCCACACTCATCCACTGGCTTCCTCTATCCCTCCCCCTTTCTCTTCTTCTTCACCTTCCATCTATTCCTCCCCATTTGACGACTCGCTCCTGCGAGAGAGAGTGGCCTGGCTCGTTTTCCGTTTTGCTTTGTCAAAACAGCATAAAACTGTGGTAATAAAAAAGGATCCTGCATTATTTATCTTGCTGAGGAACACATGCATTTGCACAGTCAGAGCCCCCGTTCACATAGACCATGTGGTCAGGCACAGGCTCTGTACCTCAATACTGTCTCAGTATACATGCATGTGAGGGGAATCGATTTATTGACCAAAGTATGTCTGACTCCACTACAATAGGTGGTGATATGGCTCCTTTCAGTGAGCAATGGGTGCGCGGACAAATGAAGCGACACAAGCTTTAACTGCAATCTGGTCGGAAGAACAAATACAAGATCAGGATAGTGCAACAAGAAATAAAGTATTATGTTTAACAAAATTGGAAATTGGTATTGGAAAATTTTCAAGTACTGCAATTTCATTTTGTTATAATAAATATTGGGATATTTATGAAACAAAAAAAAGGAGTTCAACATAAATTGTTCACAAAATCTAGGAGAGATTTAAACAACAAGGATGAAAATGATTATGATTGTCTTGGAAAACGCATGCAGCGCTAAGGCACAAGCAAACTTTAAACCGATCTCTAAACATATATTAGATGATCTTGAAAAGGAATAAACATTAAAATTGCAAAACTTGCAATTTTTTGTTTCCTATTACAGAGTAAAAAAGTTTTCGCGAGATTTAAACTACCTGCGCCAGTTTGAGTCCGACGGAACGCATACACGCAGGAGTACATCGACTCCCAGTTGCATTATCTGAGTGTCTTAGCCCAACTAAGAGAAATTCAAATTAGTACAATTTCATTCGGACTAACACGTTTACATGAACTTTGAAAGTCCAGTTTTTAGCTGGACTAACACAATAATTTGATTTTCTTAGTGTGCATGTAAAGGTACTGACAAATATGTACCTTCTCCCAGCACCCACTAACCTAAAACATTCTGGCCTTTCAAACCTGCTTCACTCTCTGGTAACTTCTAATAAACAACCAAAGAACAAAATTTCAAAACTCACTCAGTCCACAAGATAAACTTTCGAGAAAATTTCTGGGGACTTAGTGAGTTTTGGGAATGCAACGAAAGTTCTTCATTGGATTATTCGGACTGTGTGAGTTTTGGTTCCCAGTACAGTCACATACGATGAGGAAGCCTGACTTAAGGTCATCGCTGGTCTCACCGCCAAAACAACCAAAAAGATTTAGAAATCTGCTCTTCTGTTATATCCAGACAATACACAATAACCAGGCCAAAGCAACTGAAATACGAACATGTGAAATATATAGCAAGAATCTGTGGGAAAGGTAGTGTCTTTTTAGCCAATCCGAAACGACGAGGCAACCAATGGAACGAGAAAGGGGTGTGGCTTACCTGCTCTAGACTCATCCTCTGCAGCTCCTCCTCCCAGGCTGCCCGCTCGCTGCGGTGGTAGGCGGGGGGTGGGGCCAGGTTCTGCAGGATGTGGCGGTCTCGCTCGTGGCACAGGGCGGTCAGGTGGCCAATGTACAGCTTCAGTTTACTGCGGTTCTGGTTGAGGTCTATAAGAGAGGGGATGATCTGGCCCCAGCATAAAAAGGGAGAAGAGCTGTCAGAATATAACCCACCTCATACATTCACCCAGGCTAACCCACATGGCAACAAACCACGTCCCTGACCATGTGACCGTGGGTATCTGAGAACACAATTTTAAAATGTGGGCGTGAGGCATTATTGAGCACGTCATAGTGCGGCAGTCTCTCTGGCAGCCATTACAGATCACTGTGCTCCAACTCTGACTGAATCTCACACAAGGAGCAGAGACACGAGAACGTGCCCCAAACCAGCCACCAGATCACATGACACCCACCCCCACTCTAGCAGAGCAACACATGGGATGCAGTACATTCAGAAACAGCGGCTACAGTATGAGTGAGAAAGAGATTTTTTAAAATCATGGGAAAAACAAATGAAAAGTACAGACCACCCAGCGAGGAGGAGAGCTCTGAAACTCCATTACCCCAGAACGTGATGTTTTTTGACTGGAGAAAACTGGCTCTGATAAAACGCAGAGGAGCACTGACTGGACGGCTCCATTTCTGACTAACACCACTCTAGGGCTGAAGGAAGCCACCGGTGATGTGGTCCATGGATGATGTGTTCTCCCTCGAGTACACATCACATCTGCTAAATGGCATCTCCGAAGCCCAGAAAGAACCTGCCCGTGCTGATGAGGAAGCAGTACCATGCCAAACTCTCTGTTCTGGGAGCAACACAAGAAGTGCAAGTGGACCGGCGGACTTGATCGGAACTAGAAAAATCCATTACGGGCCCTTTGCTGGACCGCGCGAGCCACCTGGGGAACGAAAATGTGGAACGGGTGTCGATTGAGATTTTGCTAAATATTTTGAAAAGGCTTAACTAGGATGGATGGTGAGCAGCACTTATAGCATGAAACAGGCAGCATCCAAAGTTACAACAAAGTACAGCCTTTAAAAAAAAAATAATTATAATAATAATCGGGGTAAGCGTTTGGTGAGGAGAGGGCAGGGGAATCCGGTTTCGCCTGCACACACACGAGTGGGAACATTAGTGTCCACACACTTTATTAATTCTCATTAGCTGGGACCTCGGCTCCAGGGCCGACCGTGCTCTGTTTTAGTTGGCTCAGGGGAAACCTCTCCAGGGTGGAACCCAACTGAAGGCAGAAGTGAGCGAGAGAGTAGAAAGAGAGGAAGGGGAGGTGTTGAGAGAGTGGGGGGGGACATTTTCCTGTCAGGTTTCCATGAAGGAATGTACCCAGTTGACTGCTACCAAGTCCTCCTTCTATAAACACTATGTGCACCATCGATAAGCCTCTGATGGAGGCCCCACAGGTACACTTCCTGTCCAGCACACAGCACTTCCTGTTTGATGGTTTTTGTCCACCATCTTTACGGCATTTGCGTCCCAGCAAATCAAAACCGGATCCTGTGCCGCTCAAAGGACCCGGGGAGAGATGCACGCTCCCTGAGATTCTGTTACGCATTTCGTCAAAGTCACCTACATATGATAATGACGACAGGATGCAAAGGCAATGTGAGGACATCAGGAATACGGCCAAAGGACTTCAAAGGATGCAGTGTTGTTGGGTGAATGATGTGTGTGAGTGCGCCCTGTGATGGGTTGGGGACCCATCCTGGGTTATTCCCTGCCTTGCACCCGTAGCTTCGGGGATAGGCTCCGGACTCCCCGCGAATAGAATAAGCGGTTACAGAAGATGGATGGATGGGTGTTGGGTCTGAACAAAAGGGAAATCTTATGGAAGAGATTGTGATATATTCCTTAAGTGTCCAAACCTGAAAGAAGCAGGAGAGCCCTGTGACACAGCCACAGCCACAAAGGTGAATATCTCCTGAACAACTTTACTGATACAAATCAATGCAGCACAGGTCCAGAGCGGGACACCTGCCGTTCTGCTATTCACTGGGGCTATGACTGGGGACCACTGGACATAATCCAACCCACAGGCCTGCTGATTGGAGGGACACTGGTTATGTGCCAGCCCACAAATCTACTGACTGGACGACATTGGCTATGATCCAAGCCACGGAGCTGTTGATTGGGGGAGGCGGGGGCGGGGGGGGGGGGGGGGGGGGGGGGGGGGGGGGGGGGGGGGGGGGGGGTTGCTTCCATTCTCGGTGCGCGCTGCACAACTTTAGTCTCCAGAGCTCTAGAGTTCTTTAAATGATTAGGCCACCTGTGTGACCACTTCCAGGCCATCACCAATTCCAGAAATTTAAGACCGCCAAGTCCAGTAATAGTTAACTACAAGATGTTGGAGAAAGAAATTAACTCATATATATGAGAGAGAGAGAGAGAGGGCCGAGCTCAAAGCAGTCTGGTTTATATATTTCATGCCAGTATTAACCCAGTATTCAAAATAATCCCCAAGCAGTCACCTCAAAAGAGCATGTTTGCGCTTAGTCTGATCGTGTAACAGCATCGAATGCCGGCACTCTCGTCTAAGCCAGGAAAAGAGGCTCTAATTTTCATGCCGACTCAACCCACGAATCTCTCTATTAAGGAAAAGGAAACTTTAGTAAAATACCCTTCCCATATAGGGCTGAAGAATTGTGCTGTTTGCGCTTATAAAAACCTCGGCACAGCTTCTCACTTTCGGCTTCTCCTTGCGAGGCGTGCAGCTTAACGAGGCGGTCCGTCAGAAGCCCACGAACGCGCCGTGAATCAGCGTGCTCTCTTGGACGGCGGCTGGGGACAAAGACGCTGGGGGAGGCAGCTGCAAGGAATCCGCCCCAGATACCCGACGGCTGCCTAAGAGCGGGTCACGCTCAGGAAAGCACTAAAAAGGCCAAAATAATGATCGGATTTGAACATTCCTCTCCCCGCCGTGCTGTAGGAGCCGGGCCAGTGGGATTCAAGGAGCCCCGCTATATCGAAGATGAACGTCCAGCACGTCAGCGGCCCGATCCGTTTCAGCTCCCACTTCGCCACATGTGCCGACGAAATCCCAGCAGGCCACATTACGGGCCCAAACACACCATATCCATCATGGCGGGCCAACCGCTCAAACTGCACTTGTTCTGTGCAAGAGAAATTTTTCAGGGGTACTGGAGAGGAGTTCGACTCGGAGGTCATTTCTAACAAGGCCGGCAAGAACTAATCCCATATGCGGGGACCTGATGGTCTTCCCCAGCTCACATCTTCAACCATCAAATTCACCCCACTCTGACGCTGGACGATCCTTTCATCCAGGTTTTCTGATACTGGAATCCCCAAAATGACACTAACTAATGCAGCGGAGAAGAGGCTCGCCTGAAAGCACCCTACTGAAGGGTTTTCTCAACCCAGTCCTTGGATACCCCCAGACAGCCCACATTCTAGCTCCCTCCCAGCTCCCAGTCAATCGAGAACACCTGATAGCAGACACTTTGTGTTCATGATTATATCCTCTAACCCCCCCATTCCACAGAAGGCCTAAGCAGAGCTTTAGGTAGGACAACACCCTTGTCTTAGCTTACATACCACCGGCACTATTCTAAAACCAGTGACACCATTTCACCAGCTGAGGTTTAATATCCCTGTCCTACACCCAGTGCCCCCTGGACTGAAGGAGGCCCCTACTGTGAGGCTGAGGGGCGTTAACACTTTTCTGATCATCATAAGCAACCCGATGACTCTTCAGTGGGGAGTGGGCAGGTCAGCGCTGTGAGTCACATGGGCGGCGAGGGGCTTGTCGCAGGACTGACCTCATTCTCCACCGCCCTCTTCATATCTCCTCCAAGCAGCTCAAACCCCTGGATGCAGCCATGAATATTCACGAGAGGGCCTGCAACGCATTTTTTAATCCCAAATGATAGATGGCGAACCGCGATTTCACGAGCACGCTGACTGTTGTAACAATCAGGAGCAAACAAGCCGTGATTTGGCAGAAACGCGTGAATATTCATGAGGCAGCAGCTTCAGCAGAACTGCGGAAGGTCCAGCAATGGCAAGGACTGAGCCTTCAAGAGACAGGGAGGAGAATAACTGACTTTTCTTCAAACCTCAGTATCTCGTTCATGGAGAGGTATACGAGAGGCGGCTGAAGAGACCTACTACATTCATCCGTGAGGTCACACTCAGAAAAAACCCAGCAAACTCTGCTGCCCCATCAGAGAACTTTACAACGATGTGGCATTTCTTAAGATCCCCCTTCACCGACAACTGGGCTACCACTGAAAGCCTTGTTCACGTTAAAAGATTTTGAGACTCGGCTCGGTTGGGAAAATGAGCTGTTGCAGGTGTGTATAGAGCATGGGGGGGGGGGGAAGTGGTCCTTTTCGGTTAAAGGAGGACAGATATTGAGAACAGGTGAGTCATTCTGAGAGATGCCATTCGCCATAGCAACCGCTACAGGACCTCCAGTCTTCAGTCCACAGTTTGTAATCTCTCTTCCTGTCTATAGTGGAAAACTCTTCTGGCTGAAGTCCTTATTGGCTGTCCTGCATCTCTGGGGGACTCTAGCTACTCCTGGAGCGTTCCTGCAGCAATCCTTCATACCTTGTGATGACCAGAATACACGTGATCTTTATACATTTCCCCTGTTGGCACAGATCGATGTGCTCAGCCAATTAGCACCCTTTTCACGTTTAGGGCTCTACGTTCTGCTTTTTATCTCATGCCCAATGTATTTCTTTCTTAAACAGCCATTAGGATGAAAAAAAAATAAAGACAGAAAAAATACTTCTACTCCCAGAGGAAAAGCTTGGATTGAATGCTAAGCTCTTGATGTCATTGTGGCTTACGAATCATTGAGACCAGGGACAGTGGTTTCATGAAAAAGGAAGTGGCACGCGCCAATCAAACACTTGGGTAAGGTGATGAGCGGGGACAGAACCACAGAGGGAAAGACGAGGTTGGTGCTTCGATGCAGTAAAGCAGGGTTCTGGGGTAAGGAACAGGAGGGAGAGAGGGGCTGTGGTGCAGTGGTTAAGGAACTGGATAAAAAAAAAAATGCTGCTTGTAATTGTGGGAGGGGCCCAGACTTGCGTCATTATGCTAAACACTTGACCTGATTGATTTACAACAAACGCAAAGCT